TTTGTTTCATTCAAAGTATAGGTAAGATATACTTATCTAGAACTTAATTTTAGTGATTTTTAGTTGACTATGCATGTACTCTATAAAACAGTTGAAAATGACCTTTTTTGTATTCTTCTCTACTTTCACTCATTTTTGAAAGGAATTTAATACTCTATAGAGTGTTGTATTCATAAAATGCTAGACTATAAGTACCAATTTACAGAGTGTAATATTATTGTGTTTTGGGGAAGTTATATATTTTTTTTCACCTGTGCAATACTTTTGTCATATACTGTAGTAAGAACTAAGTACTGTTTACTTTATACTTTACATTCTGTCAATCTTATTTGCTTAAAAGACAATAGTTTATAATAGTATAACTGTTAGAGATACTTTATTAGTATTATAAGTTAAGAATCATATTAGTATAAAAATATATATTTATATAAAATAATTTATATTATGCTAAAGATTGAGCTAGACAAATAGTTTGTAAAGTGTAAAATATAAGTACTTAGTAAGATTACTTATATGTACATTTAAAAATAAATTTATACATTATTATAATTTTACAAAAATACTATATAATATAAGTATAGTAGTACTAATAATAATTTGTAACAAATAACATTAAGAGTTTAATCTATTTAGTAACTCATTCTACTAATTAGTTAAGATTAAGCATTTTACTTAATAGTATTTTGTAAGTATAATACAAGTAGTTAAATATAACTACTTGTTAATAAATTTTGTGTGTACTAAAAGTTTAATATTAATAAAGTAATATATTATATAAGTATTTAGAATCTATTATACAATATTTTAATAGACTTACTAAGAGTAATATAATAGTAAATAAGACTCTGTTCTATAGTATTAAGCTTAGTACTATTTCTAATAATTTTATAATATTAATAATTATGTTTTTCTTAGTTTTATTAATAATTAATAAAATCTGTTAGATTAAATATAAGTTTAGTATTATAGTATCCTATACTTACAACTACTAATAGTACTCTCTATTTTAATACTATCTTTATGTAATCCTCTGTCAACACTAGTGTAGCAGTGTTAACCATTACACTAAAAGGCCAGTATAATCACTGATCAGTGATCCATACCCTACACTCTATATAAGCACATGTTACCAAATTGAGGTACTGCCCCCAACAGTAGCTGTTCACATGTGGTAAGCTACCAAGCTTACACTTTATCTCTTATTTTAAAAGTTTGTAAATAATCTAACTATAATACTGTTTAAACTATTAGTAAAAGGTTTCTTAATTATATTATTAGTTATATTAAGTATACTATTTAAAAAGTCGAAATTGTACAATTGTTACAATATTAGTTAAAAGTATACTTTCTAGTATAGTATATTGTAAAACATTATACTGTAATCTGTAAATAATGTATATAATTATAAAATATTCTTAGCTTGTATTCAATTTAAAGTTTATATATAATAACTATTATTTTATAAAATGTAAGACTCTATACAGAGTATAACAAAGTATTATAGAGTTTGTACTCTTTGTATCTTAAAGGAAGTAAGTAATACATTGTATATTAAACAGTATAAGTTTTATATTTAAACAGAAAGAGTACTAGTAGTATAAATATACTAAAATAGTTGTTAATTCAAGCTAAAATTATGATATTGTTGTACTTTATAACTAGTATTAACTGTCAAGTCTTCTTGAATCTACTATATAATGTTTTTTTCATAATTATATCTCTTATATCTTATTTAAAAGTAAGTCAGTTTATGACTCTTATAAAGATAATCTGAGTAAATAGATTATAAACAATATATTTATTAATACACTAGTATCTTATTACCTTATAGTTAATAAATATTAGTACTAGTATACAAAATATACAATAGTAATAGTATATTCTTGTACATTCAGTACTGTATTAACAATCTTTTCTTAATTGAGTATTTTACTATTTCTGTACTTGTAAACATTATAAGAATATTATTTACACATAAAACTAATAAATAAAACATTAAAAAATAGTAAGTAGTATAAGAGCTAAGGAAAATAATTCAAGTGTATAAATTATTTACTAACAAAGTTATTTTTTTAAAAAAGGTACTAACTCAGTATGTTTTAGCAGATTGGCTCGACAGAATAGTGTATACTTTACAAGACAAATAGAACAATTTTACTTTTTTTTAAATACTTATAAATGTCTTACTTTAGTATTTGCTACAACACATATTACAAATAACTTGCTTTTCATCCTACTGACTACGTTTCTCCAGTGGCTGTGTAAACGCTAACAGTCACCACACCTCCTCCCTCCTTGTTATTATCTGAAGCAATCTGTCAAGGGGGTACAAACCTGTTGTTATAGCATTATGCACCTACAGGCATTGATAGCATTTTCTGTTTTCTTCCCATTCTTGTACTCTCTTCGTCAATTTTCCGAAAAATGAGCGGTCGTAGATGACAGGTTTTGAAGGCTTGACTGTTTCGTCGAATACTTGGTCACCCGAAACTGTATCATCTGAAAGTTGAGTACTTTCGTAAGATTAGTCGAAGGTGTCGTACTTCGGAACGTAATTCCGTGCAGATGAGACTGTAATGATACACACTGTCATGGGGCATTATTGTATTGAAGTCGACACGCAATAATCTGTAGTCTAATGAAGATGAGCTTCAGGTCAGGACGCACCGAGTTATAGCCTTGGTCTTCGCGGATTCTATGAAACGAAGAAAGAAGGACTTGATCACTCAAGTAATCTGGGTTACGACTCACAGTTGCCTTTCATACAGAGTAAACGGAGAGCTGGGTTGATCAAGCTGCTAGTCCGAGTCTTGATATATACATAATAATAATAATAATAATAACAATAATAATAATAAGGGAGCATTGTAAATAGTTTCGGATACAGGCTGACCTTGAGGTTGATCACTACAACACGCAATGCTTTTTGATGGGCATTCCGTGCATCTTTCTCAGTAGTACATCAGCCTATGGCTTATACAAAGTGGATCCAAGTGTATGGGTTTTCGAGCAGTGTGTGCTTGAAGCCCACTTCCCCGATGGAAGCCGAGCGACTCAAGTCAGGCAGGATGTACAATACAACTGTTGTGTAGATGAGCCTGAAATGGTGAGCTTGCACAATGCAATTAGACAGCAATTAGCGTAATTAATTAATTTAGCGTGGAATAAACAAAACAAAATCAACGAGCAGACAAGTCAAGTCGTTTGAAAAGTGACAGGAGGAAAGGTGGATGGGTATAAAGGGATCAATCACCACGATAAACGATGTACGTGGGCGGCATAACAGAACGTGCTTCAGAAAGTGGGAGGGTAGCGCGTGTCCTGAAGGCAGAAATAGATGATGCTGGCAATGACATACAAAGAAAGCGCCGAGGATATCCAATAATAGACCATGAAGTTCCTTTGCGAGTGAAAATACACTTCCCTCCGTTCTCCGTTGTGCCCATTCAAATAATGCACCCTGCACAATCCGGATCGGGTTTGTGCACTCTGATGAGATGAGCAGTGTAATCGGAATCGATGGTTGCACTCGTGACCGCGGTGGTCGTAGTAGACGAGAAAAGGGTGGTCGGTCCATCGAGGCCACGCGCGTCCACTTCTGTGGTTAAGGAGGTAGTTGTCGTTATCGAAGGCGGAGGCGGATTCGACAAAGAATGGATGGAGCTGGACGCCGTACGTTTCAATCCACCATTCGGCAAGCCACAGCCTGCACACTTAAGGATCAAATGATGTTCGCCATAAGCACTCCACGGTATGGAGGGAGCAATGGGGCGCACCTGACCAGGTGCGGCATTCGTAGCAACTACTACGAGTAGCACTGTGGTAAGCAAGAGAGCAGTAAGGGTTTTGGACGTGCGAGAGTGCATTGCGGATTTCTGAGAAGAACAGACGTGCTTTCAGTGCTTTTATATCTTTCCACTATTTGCTCCGAACTCACCTGCACAGGAATACGCAGTAACTTAGTATGACTCCTTGAGAGTCTGGCCGTGCGTGTATGCTTGGGGTTTATGAACTGGAAAAAGCTTTGTTGTACAGGAAGCCACGACAGAGGAGTGAGAACCATTCTCCACCCCAACAATACACTGCCGTTAACCAGCTCCAGAGAAACACTTGCTGAAGCTAAGATTCTTATGGGACTACAGTGTTAGACAAACAAAGATGCTGGATGCACAGCCTTGGATAAGAAATTGCTATGCACAGATGTTTGAATGCTAAACACTTCGAAAGGGAAAACTGCGGATTTTGCACCTTTTCTTCATAATTGCGACTCGGTTTGCTAGCTTGCCTGTGAGAAAGTCGTTGTACTAGTGAGAATGGAACTTTCAATGTACATCATGACCTACCGCGGATAACGGTGCCGTTCCTAGGCCGTAATCCACCGCATCGTGCTGGATCATGTTTTGCTGGTCTTCGACTACGAGTTTTCAATTCAACAAGTGCGACGGCTTTCTTGAAGCCATGTAGGCTATCCAAGCCTTTCAGGCAGAGACTGGCCTCTGATGACAATGACGGTACAACACATCTCAAGGACCAGCCAGTTGAGTCAACTTATGGAGGAGTAAGATCATATCACTTCACCTGATTTCCGATATCCGCAGCTCCGCAAAATTTAACGACTCACATCGTATATCCAGATCCTAGACTGTAGTAGATTTGACAGGCTATGTTAGAAGCTATACTATAAGCTTTCCACATAGAACAGCATTCGAAATGACTGGCATGATAAAAGTTTATGTGTTCCACTCACGGACCGGAACAAGCAAGGATCACGAGAATTCAAAGTCCGATCCCGTCGAAAACGTTTGGCGTGACTACGTCATCGGGTACAGAACATAAGGACCAAAAAGCAATGTTCCTTGTAATAAAATGCGAAAGGCGGACAGTATATTGACTATATGGACCGGATTCGCGCAATCAGGGTACCAGCATTATGATTTGCCTAGCCAACCTTATCGACAGCCCTCGAGGCTTGAAGAATTGACTCCTGTAATTGCCCCGAGCAGAAATGTGCCAGAAACGCTTCTAGTAAAGCCACACACCAGTAAGAATCAAATAAGCTAGTATTACAGTGTCGAAGTCCGATGTCACGCAACGAAAACATGTGGAAGTATAATCAGGAATACATTGCGCCACAATGAAGGAACAGACAGACATAAGTCGGGATGAAAAAATTTGACAAAATAATCGAAGAACGGATGAAGGAACGAGGACCGACTAGAGCTCAAAGAATTAATAGAAATTAGGACGAGACTTATTAAGGTTGAATTTACCAGATGAAGCGAGCAAAACCAGGAAAGACGATAAGACAAGTAGACAAGCAGGTAATATTCCAGACTTTTAAGATTTCTTGATAGCTAGCGCAGCATCTCTTACAGCAGGAGAAGGCGAGAATAAGGTACTTGAGCGCCGGCGACGTGGCGGAATAGGCGGTGGAGAGATTCGTGGCGGAGGAGATGGTGGGGGAGAGCTTTTGATAGGGTTGGTTGCGCTTGATGACTTACGTGCACGTGGATTGGAAGGGGTTCTCGAAGGAGAAACAGGAAAACAAGATTGCCTAGTAGCAGTAGAAGATGACGAGCTCTTGTTTGCCAGATTCGAGATATCAGACAGACTTCTCCGCTTCGCCCGAGAAGTTTCAAGTGGTTTGGTGGGACCAACGGTTGACTTCGTAGATAGGGAATTACTGACAGAATGTTCCCTCTTACCCGTGGTCGCGCTCTTCTGTCGGGTCGGTCCAGCGGCAGGTGGCCCGCGGCATATTTTAGTAATCGGCGTCGTTGATTGAGCTTGACGACTGCGTGGCAGGTTATCAATTGGATTTGGGAGGGTGACTTCCGTTGATACTGAATGCCCCCGCGCCGGAGAGCCCATCGCCTTGCCGAGCGTCTTGCCGGACGATGAACTGCTTTTGACGCTATGTCGTGGGGACAGTGTATGACACTTAGCTGGCAATTCCTCAGAAGAGAGTCCCTCATCTCGCACTTTGGATGGCATCGCCAATGTGGGTGAAGCAGAGGGGTCTGTATCCTCTTCGCTCTCTTCGGCCAGAGCCGGCAACCGAGTACAGACAGTTGACGAGGATCTCATTACGCGTTCCGATAGAGTAGCCGCCGGTCTTGAAATGTCGGAGTCGTAGCTAAAAGCATGGGTATCTTTACAGAGCACGGAATTTGACTGAGCGAATGCTGGCGTTGTGCTATCCAGCGTCGCGTCAACCATCGTGGTTTCTGCAAGCCACGACGTAGAAGCTATCTCCATCGGTTCGACACTGTCATCATCGACATAAAATGATTTAGCTTCAATATTGTTTGAGAGTGCATCAATCACTTCAGGTCCAAAGAACGACGGGTTCACTTCAAATTCGAAGAATAACGGAGACTCCGGTCGAGGTACTTCATCATGGTGGAAAAGGTCATCGTCGTCAATCAGCCGCTGCAAGTCGCTGTATGTCTTTGTAAATATTCTGTTTATATATGAACGCCTCAAAACATCAACAAGCAGCTCGCTCGCAGAATTGTTGTCGCATACGATGCTGGGTGACTTTGAACATTCTGGACGAGAGAACGATTTCGATCGCGGAGATCTACAACCTTCCGAGTCTGATGCAAGAGGCGACGACAGAACAGGTCGATATGCCATCGCCGATGACCGCTTCGATGAGCATGGGGGCTCATTCTGCGTACTCTCAGGTTCCATGGAGAACGAGCTAGCTTGGCTGGTAGGCATACTTGCACGATCATTTGGGCCAGAAGCTCTACTGGCGGGATTGAGGATGAGTACATGAACATCCGGGTCCCTCTGCATGTCAACACGACAGCTCCGCAAGAAAGCCTGAGCATCCTCTTTTGACACGAACATTGACCGCGACGGCTGCAGGTGTCTCTCATGTAGGTCTGTCGGAGAGTCAATAGCTTCGAGTTGAGAGTTAGGTGCCAGGGCAGGCAGTGTATCATCGTCCGCTATATCGGACATACTGAATGCTGAAGATGGTGAAGTGGTAACATTCCGCTCATCTCCAGCACGTGAACGTGAAAATGCCTCTTCCGAATCGTTGGATTTTGTAGAGTTCACCAGATCTCGTATGTTAAGAGAGTCTAAAGACGAAGAGGAGTAGTCAAACAAGCCTGTCTTGGCCACTCTCGTCGTCGCAGGTCGGGCAAAACATTCATCTTCTTCGCGGCAGTAATATGTGTTAAACCTCTCAACAAACGTAGCGCGCTCTTCCGCGCAAATAGTAATATCGTCATCGCTGTTTTAAAACTAGGTCAAAACGGCAGTGAAGGGCACGAGGATAGGGCGCAATATACCATGGTTCTGCCACATTTCCAAGTGCTTCAATATCCTTTTCCGTCAGGCCTTCTCCATTGAGACCTTTTTCGTTATTGATCACGAATATGTCATGTTTCACGGGGCCTAAGGGATGATTTATTGGTTGATCGGCATATTCGCTATTTTGACTGCCCTGAGTGACAATGGCACCATGTTTTTTCGAAACAGGACGCGCATCCGTAACGCCAACTCCTTCCATATAATTTGCCTCGCGGATTGCACCTGGATCCAGGACCATTGAACCTGTGCCGAAGAGGAGAACAGGTGACGATATTGGACCGATGGGCACTTTCAGTCCTTTTGCGCCCTTCTCGAGGTCGGATGATTGATTGCTTGACGTATCAATACGCAGGAGGAGCCTCCAAGGAATGAACCTCGGGGTCGGGTCTTCGCACTGGCGACCTTTGATAAAGACGCGATAGACAACGAAGGCGAGGAGGGCGAGGATGACAAGAGTCGCAACGAAGATGAGAACGAAGACGATGGCACGGTGAGACGAAGCGGAATGGGTAGACCTTTTGGCAATTGGCGTAGTAGCAGCAGCGGAGAGAGAGAAGAGGAGGAACATGATGAAGGCAAATAAGAACATGGCGGAGGCGTTGCGGGTAGCAAGGGTGTTGAAGGGCACAGGTAGGGAGGGCTTGGACGGCAAACGAAGGAAGGGGCCGGATGGTCTCGAAGTACACTTCTCCCATCGTTTCTTATATGTTGTAAGGCTAGTATGGCTGGTATGGTCAGCATGGCCAGATATTGTGGTTCAGACCGTCCAATATCTACGTCACAGAGGCTGATTAGCAGTGATTCCGTGCAGAAATTCTAGCCGGAATCGTTAGCTAGGTTTTAAAGGATGTGGCATACGACATAACTCACTTCTTTTCATAAAGGACATGGCAGTTGCGTCACTGGTGCATTTCGCACGAGCATTATTTGCGCTATGATCCATGGTTGAGACGTGAACAACATAATAGGGCCGAGCAACGTGACAACAAACCATCGTTCTTGGATCCTAAGCCAGGACTACATTGCTTCAGATGATCTACCTGGGCTTGAAATTCAGATGTGTCCTACCACGCAAGGTCGCAGTTATCATCGCATCTTTCCCCATCATCATTAAGGTTTATTCTAATAGGGCCACGATGTATGAAGAAGCGATACGAAAGTTCCAAATGATTTCGCCATGATTTGATCAATGCGTTTGCGGAAGCAAAATGTACGGAGAATGGGAATGGGGATGAGGAGCGAGTGTTCACCTCTGCCATTATGTAATCACATTTTCAGGAGCTTCAATTACTGTCGCGGTGCCCCTTGCGGTCAGTACCCACATGTGGACACTCTTACTATTCCTCCCTCAAATCTTACTCGATCATCATGAAATTTTGTACGTATGTAGCCAGATATCTAATGAATATATATCCGAAATTTTGAGACAAAAAAACAAGTAGAAAAGAACTTATCACACTTACATTATGAAGACTATGAGAAATTGAGCTTTTGGAGTGAAACAAATTCTTTCCCACACTTTGTACACCTTATAATAATTCAAATAATAATCTTAGTAAGTTATAACTCTTCATTATTGTTTATTAGCATGTATATTATTTAAATATTTTTTTGTATAACTTTATGTGAAGTTTTGAGCAAGTTATAGTGAATATTGGTATTAATCTAATTTTAATAAATTAGAATATGCAAATCTACTAATCTCTAACTTTACAATTTTTTATACACAATTCCACTCTCATAACTTATGAATTAAAGCTAATATTTATAATTATATACATTATAAGTATATACATCTCAGAAATTATAACTTAAATATTATCACTTGGATTTATATCAAGTGTTGTTTTTACAACTATAAAAATTATAGTTTTTACAAGTATTAGTAGTAAAATTAATGTTATTATTTTGAAAAAAAAGGTACATCCCTCAGATTAGACAGGATAAGGTGTATGATAGTAGTATAGCTGTGATAACTAAAGGAGAAAGGATATGAACTTGAAGTAAAGGAGGAAGAGCTTGATTAGTATTGTTATTAAATAATAAAGTACTTATAACTTTATAAGAAGAGAGAGATTAATAAACAAAAACAGTAGCTCAACTCTCAGAAAAGGAAGGGATATACTCTAGAGATATAGAGGTAGAGTAAGAGTAAGAGGTAGAGGGGAGTGTAAGAAGGAGATAGTAGAATATAATTAAATAATTTCAAGTACATTATAATAAGCCTGTTCCTACAATGTAAACA